CAGCATCATTACTCCAGTCTTCAGTGTCACATGATCCTTCAGAAATCATTCTAATTTGCTGATTTGCCATTCAGGAAACATTTATAATTATTATTATTATTTATTATTATTATTAATCAATATTTAAAACAGTTGAGTAATTTTTTTCAGGATTCTTTGATGAATAGAAAAATCCAAAAGTCAGCATTTATCTGAAATAAAAAGCTTTTGTAACATTATACACTATACCATTCAAAAGTTTGGAGTCAGTATAAATTTTTTTTTTTTTTTTTTTGTTTTTTTTTTTTTTTGTGGGGGTGGTGGGGGGGGGGTTATAGAAATTAATACTTTTATTTAGCAATAATGCTTTAAATTGATCAAAAGTGCTGATAAAGACATTTAGAATGTTACAAAAGATTTCTATTTCAGTTCTTCTGAACTTTCTATTCATCAAAGAAACCTGAAAAAAAAAAAATTCTACTCTATAATAATAATAAATGTCTTCCGAGCAGCAAATCATAATATTAGAATGCTTTCTGAAGGATCATGTGACTGGAGTAATGATGCTAAAAATTCAGCTTTGAAATCACATAAATAAATTACATTTTAAAATATATTAAAATAGAAAACAAATAATAGTACAAATATTTCGAAATTTTACTGTTATTGCTGTACTTTGGCAGGCTTGATAATAAATGCAGGCTTGGTGAGCAGAAGAGGCTTCTTTAAAAAAAACTTTGGTTTAATAAAAGGTACACTACACAAACACCAGTTGTTTCTACAAAATTCAGATATTTCAGCAGTTTACATAAAACTATATTCACAAAACAGGCCTGACATTTGACAACTAAAACTGAAATTTGTTTCCTTCATTACTTTTACTATATTTTAATTTATGCAGAATTTTATTTTTGAATAAATAAATACATCTGGATAAGCGTTACTGTTAACTAAAACAAGAACTAATGAAGTTAATAAAAAAGTACCTTTAATTGAAATAAAACATTTAAATAAAATATTAAAATTAAAATCTAGAATCTACAGAATTTTTGCCATTTGCATGTTCCCTGTAGATTAATTAGTATTTAGAGTAACCCTTTCAGAACTCAAACAGGCCACTTCTAACCTATGAATGGACACACCAATGTCAAACTCACCTTTAAAGTGCTGTTTAAAGCTCGAATCAGGTGTAGTTTCTCATTAATGCTCTCATTTTTGCAGCGTCTGATGAAGGAAGACCTGAAGTCACGTTTGGTGGTCGGCTGCAGGGCTCCTGTGGGGGACAGACTCACCTGCTTGAGGTGAAGATACAGCATCTCCATCTCATCAGACGGGGGGCCTGCTCAAACAACAACACAAGAGTATTTGGTTACGAACCAGTTTGAAGAGAATGTAATAATAATCGCTTACGAACATGATTACCACACTTATTGAGCAATCCATTTCCATGAATTTTCCAGAAGTTTGCAATAACTGGGTAAGAATTTTAAAAAATATCATTTTATAGAGACAAAAAGCAATATCTAGTATAATTCAGAAGTTTAAATCTCCTAATTTGTGTTAAGAATATTCTAGTAAAAATTTGTGGTGTGAATCTCCACTGGTATCACGATTCGATTACGATTATTATGTCAACGATTCGTTTCAATTCAATATCACGATGCGTCGCATTCTCAATTTTCAATATTACGCAACATGGCTACATTTTCGTATTAATTTGAGATCAAATTTATTTTGTGCATTATATAACTTGGTCCTGGGGGGCCAGTATCCTGGAGAGTTTAGCTCCAACTTGCCTCAACACACCTGTCTGTAAGGCTGTATCCGCCCCCTATACCCTCATTCACTATTCCCTACATTAGTCCTCTCATACAGTTCACTTGAAGGAGTGAATGAAAACAAGTGAGTGAATTCGGACACTGAGTCCACTGGAAGGACTGCCGCTTTTGCATAGCTTGCTTGCTGTTTAATAATCATTTGAATCTCAAAATCTGTCACGGAAATGTATAAACCCTAGTTAAACAATTTAAGTCAATTTACAATGAATTTGTAACGGTGTTGTATAGCGTTGTAAAATGAATGAATGGATGATTCAGCTGCGGGCGCCATCTTCTGGCGAGAAGCGGGAATTCATTTGGCACGCGACTCTCACAGTGCATTGGTTGAGTGTACATCGGTTGTACACACGTTTTTGCGGTGCACTGTGAGATTGAATGAGTGCACTCGAGAACGTCCACTATGGTTTCGGACACCACTAAAAAAATAATGTCCTATTTGAGGGTATAGGGGGCGATTTCTGATACAGCCTAATGCCGAGTTCACACTGCACGATTTTAGCCCGATTTTTCACTCGCTGACAGGTTTTGCGAAATCGCAGACAAATGCCGAAATCGGAGGCAAATCGGTGCTCGTTCACGCGAGTGACAATCACGCAGTGTGAATTATCAAAGACGCGATCTGAGGGAATCGCCGACACGTCGCCGACGCCCGCTAAATATTTGGCATGCTAAATATCTGGAGCTGTCGGCGATTCACAATCACGCTGTGTGAAATTATTTCTGACTGAAAACTACATCGGCGATGACCTACAGCCAATCAGAGACTTTTTTTTATAATTTCAGTCTTGCTCGCGAGAACTCCGGTCTGACGCACGCGGGTTCTCGCGTTATTTCCTTATCACTTCTCACGTGTGTTTTGTTGTGAAACGTAGTTTGCGGACCAGACAGAGCTGCCGGCGATTCTTCCTATTGTGAAGTCATGCAGTGTGAAACCCCCTGTCGCCGATCCATCGTGCAATGTGAACACAGCAGCAACTGATTGCTACCCCAGATAGTCACGCTGTGTGAAAACAACGGCGATCCGACGAGTTTGAAAATCGTGCAGTGTGAACTCGGCATAAGTTTCAAGTATACCTAGTAAGACCTTGATTAGCTAGGTCTGGTGTGTTTAATTAGGGTTGGAGCTAAACTCTGCAGGACATTAGCTATGTTTCCATCCAAAGATTCAAATTAAACTTATGCGCAAAACTGGAATATCGCATAAAACATTTGCGAATAAAGCACCGTTTCCATCCAACGAGTCAAAGAGAACAAAATCGTCACTTCCTGGTAAACTGGCACTAAATATCACTAAGAAAACTAGGAGAAGCCACGGAATATAATCATTTTCATATATGATAAATTACTTGCGCCTCAGAGCGAGCAGAGGAAACACAATAAATGCAGTCAGTGGATGCCAGCTGTTTGGGAACGCAGTCGTGTAAGACAATTATAAAGACATACTTTGACGACAGACTTTACTCAGGCTTTTCAGAATGACCATAACAACATATAGATGCTGTGAATGAGAGGAGTTAGTCAAGTTAGTCAAGTTATCCCGTCTCATAGCGCAAAGTCACATGACTTTTTTTAATGCGCATGGTGGAATTTATTCGGTAAATGCGTTAACATCGCAGTTTATGCGCATTTTTTCTTATCGGATAAAACGTTTATCCTACTCAAATATGCGCATACGTTTTTATGTGCATTTTTAGAATTTATGCACATCTTGGTGTTTCCATCCAGCGTTTTTTTATGCGATATTCCAAAATGCGCATAAAAATAGGTGGATGGAAACAACAGGACCGAGTCTGGTGACCCCGATTTAAAGTTTTGGGTGAATGGACTTTCAATGGAGGAAAAGAAATCTCACAGGTTTCATTAAAAATATCTGCATTTTTGTTTCCAAGATGAATGAAAGACTTATGGGTGTAGAATGAAATGAACATGAGTAACATGATGACAGTTTGCATTTAGGGTGAACTATCCCTTTAAAGCGAAACAAAAAAAAAAAGTTTTTATTTCAGACTCCTGCCATGTAGTGCTCACGTAAGGATAAAAGATCTCATTCCAGTGTTCACTTACAGTCATTTCCTTTGAATTCCTGTATTTTGTGGATGGGGTCTTCCTCTGAGCTGATCTCCTGCCACGACTCACTGTCTGCACTCTGAGTTGAGGTGCGTTTACACACCGGAGAAACCAGCGGGAACGAGTCCTGACATGGAGAGGAAGAGGAGCGGGGAGGCGGGAGACAGCCCTGAAACATTCACACACAAATACATTTAAAAATATAACATCAATTAGGGCTGCATGATAAAATCGCATGCGATATTTAACGCGCATCTTGTCAGTAAAGCCGGTAAATCTCCATCACGTGCGTGCTTTCACATTGAGCAGCATTAACTACACAGAGCCGTTGTTCACCGACAAGCTGCGCAAAACATGTGCAAAATATGATTGTGGTTTTGCGCAGCTTGTCCCCAACCTCTGATTCTCCTGCTCGAACTGACACACACACACACACACACACACACACACACACAGTGATCACTGCATCAATGTTACACAGCATGATGATGAAGTGTGTGTGTGTGTGTGTGTGTGTGTGTATATGTGAGAGTGTGTGTGTGTGTGTGTCTGTGTGACTGTGTGTGTGTGTGTGTGTGTGTGTGAGTGTGTGTATGTGTATTTGTGTGTGTGTGTGTGTGTGTATATATATATATATATTAGGGCTGCATGATGCAAAACATGTGCAAAATATGATTGTGGTTTTGCGCAGCTTGTCAGTGAACAACGGCTCGGTGTAGTTAATGCTGCTCAATGTGAAAGCACGCACGTGATGGAGATTTACCGCTGATTACAGAATGGCTTTACTGACAAGATGCGCATTAAATATCGCATGCGATTTATCGTGCAGCCCTAACATCAATCTATCAAAATCTCAAATAAATTCAGTAAAAAAAAACAAACAAAGAAATAAAATTATACATAGATACCCATTAACAATAGGTTTAGTGTGTTCTTATGTATCGATTCTTAGGAATGTGAATTGCATTTCTGTTTTTCTCTTAAAATTTGTTCAGTTGCTGGTTTACACTACTGTTTGGGGGTCAGTAAGATTTTTTTATTTTGAAAGAAATTTCTAATGCTCACCAAGGCTGCATTTATGTGAACAAAAAAATACAGTAAACAAAAAATAATACTGTGAAATATTGCAATATAAAATAAAAAACTCCATTTTAAGATTTTAACATTTCCATTTTATAACATTTATTCCTGTGATGGTAAAGCTGAATTTTCAGTATCAATTCTCCAGTCTTCAGTGTCACATGATCATTCATGCTGATTTGCGGCGCAAGAAACCTTTCTTATCATCACTGCTGAACGCAGTTGTGCTGCTTGATATTTTTGTGGAAACCATGATACATTTCTACCCCCAAACATTTACATGGTTGTGTATGTAGAAATTAGTCAGACACATATATCTGGCCACTGCATTTTTTTGTTGTAGCTGTTTGTTTGTTTTTTCAAACCAAGCAGTCAAACTATTTTGTGACTCATTTCACCAGGCATTAATAGCACATATAATCCACAATGAATAGGAGAGTTAAATGCTGACTTTAAGCACTTATGGTTATGGGTCTGTTTAAAGTAGCATGTCCGGACCGAGTGTGGTTACTCACATGCAGAGAGCCAAGAGTCAGCTGATCCATGTACTCTTCACACATCTCAGCTGTGTCTGCTTCATCCTCATCATCACTCTCCTCACTGTAGCACTCTATATTCACACAATCAATACCAGAATAATGCAGCTATTAAAGTGTCAGGTGTGGCTTTGGTCAAACACATCAAGTAGACTGAAATAGACGCTCGGTGTTAACCGGGTGTCTGTAAGCGTTTGTGGTGTGAATCTTTACCTCCATTTGTTGAGTCTCTGGGCTCAGGTTCATTTGAAGCCTGGGTGAGTTTAGCCAGCCATCTAGGTTAAAAAGAACATTAATTACAATTAATCTACTCATCAGACCTGTGGAATAATTGTAATGGATCATTATGTGTGTTCTCTGCCCACACAGTTTAATAGCAGCACACCCACAGCTTTCTCTCAATGTTTTTTTCCACTCATAGGTTTATTTCAGTATGTTTCAATAAACCTTTACAGGAATGGTTTACAAAAAAAGAGATTTGTCTGTTGTTCCAAAACCATTTGACTTTTTGATTCCATGAAACAAAAACTAGATATTTTGAAGAATCTCGGGGCTGCTCTTTTCCATACCAAAAAAAAAAAAAAAAAAAAAAAAAAAAAACAGTAAACATGTCAAGCACCATTACAGTATTGTAAAAAGTGGTCCATATGAAGGTATTCTGAAGCCATACAACAGCTTTGCTAGGAAGAGTCCAACTGAAATTTAAGCCATTCACTACAAATGTGTAGCTCGCTCACACCATAGATAACTCTGCTATGTTTAATATAGACATTTTTTAGGCTAACTTTACAACTGAAGTGCTCATAAGATTGGAAATGTACGGTATACAGAATTTTACACACATGTACACATTATAATAAGAAACACAGTTTAAAATTTATTTCATTTGGCATCCACAGAGCAGTTATTGGTTATATCTGGCAAAAAATAAAAAAACAACTTTGGACACTTTCTACCAGCAAAGCTTAGTTAAGAAATCCAAACTGTATTTTTAGTACTGGAGTTCTGCAAAACCCTATATTTTTATCAAACATGCTCAACTGCATGATGTGCTGCAGACAGCTTCGGTCACAGCGAGGTGTCAAAGCAGCCCGCCACACTGCAATGCAAACATGTCACGTTGGGCCAAAAACCATACCCACAAGCTTCACATGTATGCGCAAGTGCTACATGACTAAAAAGGTAGGTTTTTTTTCATAAGTGTAGCTTCAGCAAGCACTTTATCTCTGACCACATTTACTAACACAAGAAATTGTGTCTTTTCACACTCACTTGTTCATGTCTTTCATGTTCTCAGCTGCAAAGTAGAGTGTCAGCATTTGGAGGTGGCTTGCTTTCATTGCACTGGAAAATAAGAATGAAGTGAATGCAAATTAAAACATACACAACTCCAGCAGTTCTCAGAGACAGTATCTTTGTGGATGTGTGGTTACATGACGTAGTGGAAGTATTACACAAAACCGAAAACATGTTCGACACCAAGGTTTGCCTCCCGTCTTATCTACATCCAATCTTAGTTATCAAAGTAAAACACAGTTACTGTATGTCTTTTACGAAGGAAGTCTGTGAAAAACACAGTAGCTCAGACCACATGCTTAGAGCAGGCAGTTTCCTGTGTTCGGAGCGCTCTTTAAGAGGGGTATAGATGACACACTTCCAGTGTGAAAAAAAAAAATCTGATTTACAACCTGATAACTAGATCGCACTAGATCTTCAAAATGCATCAGTCTAAAAACAAATCCATAGCCATTTTACATTCTCTTCAGAAAATATATGAAAACTACATATTGCACAATCGGTTGTGGGTTGTTGCCTAGTGTGTTAAAGGTGCTGTACGTAATTTTTTGACTGTACTTAAGGCATTAAAATACAATAATATGTTCGCAGATATTTAGGAAACATGCTAAGTTCACATACTTGTTTCTCTGAAAAACAATGCGACAGCCAGTTATTCTACTTTTGAAATGTGTGTTCCGTGTCGGAATGTCTGTTTTTGTTTTGGTCTGTGTGATTCAGCCCACTGCCAGTTTATCTAACAGTATTTTGACACCCCGGGTTGCCAGTTGGTGGGAAACACAGCCATGGAAGCCAGTAAACGAACAGAGTCAGAGATCGCAGATCCTACCAGAGGCATATTAAAATTAGGATAAATTAACTCATTAACTTACAGTGTAAGGCTCGTCGAATGTCAATTGTTCCTGTTGCACATCCTCAATCTGGCAACCCACATAAGCATTGAATTTGAGGAGGAGGAGGTGGGAGAAACAACTCTCCAATATTTTGAATTTGGACTGCAATATCCATTTCAAGTGCTAGCTGTCAATATTAAACACTGCACCTTTAAGTGTGTTCCTATTATGGTGTTGTTGGTGTTGCGGTGCAAGTTAAAAAAAATGTCTTGGTAATCTTTAATCCAAATATGAAAAATTTGATTCCACTCTGGAATGGCATTCCTTGTTATGCGGTAGCTAGGATGTTCCGAGTAGTTTCCAGGGCTTTTCTATGCTGTCACTAGTGTAGTTTGGCTGGTTGCCATTCAGTTCTTAAGGTTCTCTGAGTGTTTTAGTGCATTTCTATGGCTTTCTGGGTCTCTATGTATCTAGGTCAATTCTAGGTGGTTTCTGAGGCATGATTTTGAGAGACCATTGTGAGTGTGTTCTGGGTGGTTGGCAAGATGTTGCTAGGATGTCCTGGGGTTTTGCAATGACGTTCTGTGTGGATCCCAAGGAGTTTTTATGAATTTGTGTGGGCGTTGCATATGATTGCTGTATGTTACCAAGTATGAGCAACATTTATAGCCATGCTTGCTTTAACATCCAGCATGCAGTAATTTCAGAAAAAACAGACATAAGGCCACATGTTGCAAATAGGCATGTCTGGGTTTTTTTTTTTTTACCACAAGCAGCCAAAAATCTCTCTAAATAAGGAAGATGAACTCACAACTTCTTCTTGCATTCGGTAGCCTGTTCTATGGTGAAGTCTCTCAGGTTGATGTAGCCTTCGGCTTTCTCTGCCTGAAAAGCAACAGAAAAAAACTTGTCTCTGGAAAAAGACTACCCATTTAAGTTTGAGTTTAGTTTTGAACAAACTTTGGTGGATTGGTTTTTAGCAGTGTTCGTTGCCATGATACAGGACTTATGGTACACAACTAACCAGGGATGTGATACCCAAAAGCACTGCAAGACTTAATACATTGTAGAAACCACTGGCACCAATAATCTCTACAATCTACTTAAAGGGATAGTTCACCCAAAAAGTGAAAATTGTCGTTTTGTCACCCTCAAGTTGTTCCAAACCAATACACGTTTCTTTCTTCAGTGGAACAAGAAGATATTTTGAAGAATGTGGGTAACCAAACAGTTGATGGTCCCCATTGATTTCCATAGCATGGAAGAATTACTATGGAAAACAATGGGGAACAACTGTTTGGTTACCAACATTCTTCAAAATATCTTCTTGTTCCACAGAAGAAAGAAACTTGTATTGGTTTGGAACAACTTGAGGGTGAGAAAATGACAGAACTTCATTTGTGGGTGAACTATCCCTTTAAGATATCTATGCTTTCATGAAATTTAGCTGTGATTTGAAGCAGGGGGGGGGTTTTCTGGATATGAGATCACAAACTGAAAATGGACCAATTAGCTGTGAGCAAAGTGACGCTTCTCTGACACAAAGTCACTTCCTTTGTCCGTCTTGCTCCAAATTAATCAGTACAAGAATTTGAGACAAATTTTTTCGATTTTGCCAATTAATTATTATATTTATTTTATATAAATTATATATTACCATATTTATATTATATTTATAAAGCATGCTTAATGAACATATATAAGAAATTATAATTTGACAATTAAAAATTATTAATTACTTTACCTAATAATTATTTCATAATATTAATTAGCTTTTAACTTAAATTACTATAAATATATATATATAAATAAATGCTTTAGTCAATATAAAAAGTTTTTAAAATGACTAATCTTACATGTTTTGGTTGAGCACTTTAAAAAGTGTATAATTTATTAACTTGACGTTTCGCTTGCACTGACAGCCAGATATTTTGTTCTCAATTTTGTGGGAGCAGCAATGGTTCTTATAGGCTTGGTAAATGGGTTTAAACTTTTCATATTTTTTCATAATCTCTTAAGAAAAGTGAATTGCGAATCAAACTGCTCATGAGATTGGCCGTTCACTGCATACTCTGTATCAAACCCACAGTAGCGAGAGCTGTGACTCCGCTATCGAAATGTAGAGTTTGTCCGACTTGTTTTGTGCAACAGGTTTCTAGATAACAAATGAACTCTCAAGACACATGTTCACATTTTCCATAGCGAGGGCACATATTATAAGGGGAAAACCACGTAACTTACCATGTCCGACGTGTACCAGTAAAGTGAACATTTCTTGAGCACAAACCAAAACTTCTTCCACCTCCAGCCCAAGAGCCCTTTGCTCTCCTTCCTTTTGTACAACCAGCCCTGACAGTCGCCCTGGCCCAGGTCTTTCACCGAGACCCTTCTGCGGCTCATCACACCATCTCCTATCACAAGCAAACACATGCAAATGAGGCGCCATCAGTCCTCAGCAGTGCCGTTCTCACTGGGTTCTTAACAGTACTTTGAAACATCAATAGCAAAGATAATAGCATCACGTCTGTATGATGCAATCAACAGGGTCAAGATTACACTAACACTAGTTCTTTGTACATTGTGTACTTGATCATTTTACTCTTTCAGTGAGTATAAAACATCTATAACTTGTCTTAACAATAATAGTCTATGTTAGAAACACTTTTTTTTTTTCGGCTTACCTTGAGACTTCTCCGCGGCAAAGTCTTGAAGAGGGTACTGAAAGCACAAGGAAAGAGAAAACAGAAATGCTGTAAATTACGCAGTGAACTCAGCCATCAGCTCAGAGAGACAGCGCTAATAACACAGCTGCCTCTAAAGAGAGTCTTCACTTCCCCGAACCGCCACACACACGCCAGTGAGAGAGTTCAAGTACATGTACACACTTATACTGATATCCTCCCTCTCACGGTTTCAAAACACTCACATACAATGCTACATAGCCACGTACATGAAATAAAATCTCCCCACAGACTGACGATTGTTTTGAAGCTACAGTAATTGGATAGTTGATATGACGTGTAAAGCAGTGTGACATGCTATTCGTCATATTCCAAAACATTGGTTTCCCTCTAGACAGATCCCCAGTAAAGACCTTGTCTCAGACGGCCACAAGACCACAGGAGCCAGTTGAGTCCTCTGCACAATGTGACTTTGCTGCAGCCTGGAATTGAACTGCTGGTTCGTCTGGTCACTCTAATTGACTCTAATTCTTGGTTAGATATTATACATTTAAATTTCATGAGTTCACGGAGAGGCTACATGGAATATTCAGACTTTAAAAAAACTCATGTCACGTCATAGGATTTTAAGTCAACTGCAGAAAGGGGAAAGAGAGGTGAAAAACGTAACCAGTAACCACGCTTAAAAACACACTTTCCCACATACATTTATAAAAATTTCATCTTTTTTTTTTTTGTTCATATACATTAATCTCTCAAAAGGCGGAGTTTCTGTTTCAAAAACCGGCATTATAGATCTTCTTGTGAATGATTCATCCACGATTGAGTGTCTTTAAAAAAAAAGTGTTTTTTTTTTATCTCAATTTTTTATTCAAAATGTCATTACTGGATCTTCCATTGAAAACAACAGACACACGCAATCATTAAAGGGATAGTTCACCCAAAAATGAAAATTTGATGTTTATCTGCTTACCCCCAGGGCATCCAAGATGTAGGTGACTTTGTTTCTTCAGTAGAACACAAATTATGGTTTTTAACTCCAACCGTTGCAGTCTATCAGTCGTATTATGCATGGCAATGGTAACAAAATCTATGAGAGTAAAAAAAACATGCACAGACAAATCCAAATTAAACCCTGCGGCTCGTGACAACACATTGATGTCCTAAGACACGAAACCATCGGTTTGTGCAAGAAACCGAACAGTATTTATATCATATTTTATCTCTAAAACACCACTATGCCCAACTGTCTTTGGGCGTGCCCACGGCATCCGGTGCGTGAGGTGTGTACGCGCTCTGGCGTAGTTTACG